CTTGACATCAAGAATGCCTTCCTGCGCAGGGACCTAATTGAGGAGGTATATATGGAGCAACCACTAGGGTTTGTTGCTCAGGGGGACGATGGTAAGGTTTGTAGAATTAAAAAGGCAATTTATGGGCTGAAACAATCTCCACGTGTGTGGTTTGGTAGATTCAGTGAAGTAGTGAAGAACTTTGGGATGAAACGGTGTCAGATAGATCATTCTGTGTTCATCCATGACTCAAAAGATGGGAAAATCTTGCTAGTGTTGTATGTGGACGATATTGTCATAACTGGGAGTGACAGTAATGGGATTGACAGGTTGAAGAACTTCCTACAAGATCACTTCAACACGAAAGATTTGGGTAAGCTGAAGTCTTGGGAATAGAAGTTGCAAGGTCAAGGCATGGAATTAACTTATGTCAAAGGAAACGTGTCCTTGACCTGCTTGAAGAAACAAGGCTGTTAGGTGCCAAACCAGCCGAGACACCTATGGAACCAAATGCTAAGTTGAGTGTTGATGCAGGTGAAGAGTTTGATGATCCTAGAAGGTACAGGAGGTTGGTGGGAAAATTGAACTATCTAACTATCACACGACCAGATATATCATTTGCTGTAAGTATGGTGAGTCAGTTTATGCAACATCCTTGGATTCCTCACTGGGAAGCAGTTCTAAGAATTATTAGGTATTTGAAGGGTGCTCCAGGTCGTGGTCTACTATACAAAAGTGGAGGAACTCTTGAGATAGAAGGTACAAATGCTGATTAGGTTGGTTCTATGTCAGACAGGAGATCAACTACAAGATATTGTACCTTCCTTGGTGGCAATCAGGTAACTTGGAAGAGCAAGAAACAAACAGTGGTGGCAAGAAGTAGTGCAAAAGCTGGGTACAAGGCTATGGCTCATACTACATGTGAACTAATATGGTTGAAGAATTTGTTACAAGAGATGGGGTTCTCAGTTGACAGACCCATGAGGTTATACTATGATAATCAAGCTGTTATACATATCTCTTCTAATTCAGTCTTCCATGAAAGAACAAAGCATATTGAAGTCGATTGCCACTTTATAAGAGAAAAAGTGATCAGTGGAGTGATAAATACATCTCATGTGAGCTCAGGAAAATAGTGGGCAAATCTCTTTACAAAGGGGCTGTCTCGGGGCAGAGTAGATTACATATGTGACAAACTGGGACTATATGACATATACTCTCCAGCTTGAGGGGGAGTGTTGGAGTTGACAGTACAGGGGTATTTTGGTCTTTTGGTTTATCTAGTTAGAAGTGAAAGGTCTGTTTTATTCAAATTTAAGTTGTGTCCCATCACTTGTAAGGGACAATACTGTCTTTTGCAACTCAACTTTTTCTCTTCTAGCCAAACCCTTCTTCTCCTCTTCTTCTTCTTCTTCTTCTCCTCCTCCTCATACTTCGAACCTAGAACTGAATAGGATCAAGCTACCTATTTACATTGCTTAACTCCAACGAACAAGAAGGGTTCTCATTACTCCTTTCCAGTTCCAGAACTGGACATCAACCATTCCTGCATCTTCTTCACTATCAGCTTCTTCCGGTCTAGTTGTAGTTAAGTCATTGTAGCCCTCATGAAACAATGGTGTATGCGCTTAAAGATCTCCAACATTCTCCCTTACAGGCATCTTGTAGCGCTCCTCCAACTCTTGAAACAACTTTCTCATAAATGATTCACCTTTCAACGCAAACAAACCCAAGGTTTTACCCACATCTTCTGCCACATCAACCACTTTTTTCAAGCCAATGGCCCTGTCAATACGTGGGTTTCATCAATATAAGATTCCTCCTCGGTTCACTTAAACTCTCAGCTTCATCAGAAGATCTATCATCATCCTGGATTTTTTTTCCTTCTGTTAAAGGTCTTGTTTGATAAGTTTTCTTCCTTATATAAACCTTAGAACAGGAATCAGACAGCATTTTCCTTTTATTTCCTCTCCTTTCTTTATCTCCACCTATTTCTACATATTCAGGGACAACCGTAACAGGGTGGAGCCCCTCTTCTGAGTTTTCCTCTGTCCTTTCCAAGTTGAAAAGTTTTCCAGGATCATCCTAAAATCTGAGAATTGCCCGGCTGCTCTTTGCTTTCTAAGTCCACTACTTTATCCAACTCCAGATCTTTTTCTCCCCCAATCCAAAACAATACCATTGTTTCCTCTCCTTTCTTTAACTCCACCTCTTTTAGCACCTATAGAGTCACCCGAAATAGACTGGGCCCTAGCTTCTGAGAATTCCTGACAGATCATTAAGTCTTCCACATCTTCCCCAAGGGTTGGAAGGTTACTCAGTATCCCTTCTCTTTCCAAAATCACTGAAGCAACCAATTCTGCTTCTTTTTCACCCCTAAAGAGGGTATGTTTCTTTATCTGCCTTTTTTCCATCCTTTACTTCAAAAAAAACTCAAAAGCTTGAAAAGACTTGCCTCTTGTGGCAGTTTTTTTCCGCCAAGGCACATTGATTTCTAAGAATATTCTCAATCAGTTTCTTTTCCGCTTCGAATACACACTTAGAACCAGTCTCTGTCACTCCAGAACTAGAAGAGAAATGTCCATCCTTCGAACTTCTGCTTTTTATTTGCAGGTTTCTCCTTTATCCTTTACTGTCAGAGAGCTCCTCTCTTCCTCTTATTGCTCTTGGACCAAAGCAAGACTGTCTTCATTTGAATAAAGTACTTTGTCACAAAACACTTGTAATCCACTCTAAGTTCTTTTGCAACCCCAACTCTTTAACAGAGCAAAAATAATTACTCGTAAAGAAAACAAAGGGTTAGAGCCCCAACCTGGGCCAAAATTAGAAATAGGCTAAGACCCACTCGGTCCAACCTCACTCACTTCTTTTTCCTTTTTGATCCGTGGTCCTTAAAGATTCTAAAATTGCAACACATCCCCTCATCATCCCCAACCCTTTACCTCCTCTTTGAACCTTCCTCTGCAACTTTTTGGTTTCTGCAAATGTCCAAAACTCCTTAGATCTAACACTACTATCCTCTTTTTGAGCCTCCCTAGCAGCATTTTGAAACTCCTTAATCCAAAATAGTGTCCTCTCCAGCAACAACTAATCTTATTTGAAAAATCTCATCCAAGTAGGACAAATCCAAGAGGGTGGGAGTCACATTCAAATCTTCAGTCAACACTAAAATCCTTGCGAATTAGATGTTCTCCCACCTCCTGTTTCTAAAATCAAATCTCTCAAAAATACCACAAGCATTTCCTAACACAGAAGCCCCCAAATGTCTAACATAGGAGAAACTTGATGTCTCTATTCACCACTCGCCCACTTCTCTATGTCCCTAACATCAGGTTCAAGATGAGCAAACCTACCTACCAAGCAACAACTCAAGAACTCCAACCGATCCTCAACCTTCCCAAGATCTCTCACATAAACTCCTTTTTTCGCCATTGTTCGTTCTTCACTTCACTATTACTCTGTTATTCTCGATCAACTGCTGGGTTTACTGGTTGGCATTGTGAACGTGTGGTAATTTAATTTTGAAAAAGTAATCTTATGTATTTCATTTATAGATCAGAAAGATACATCAGCATCCATGTTCACCAAGGCACTACAATTCTACAAATGGGAATGTACTAAAAGAAACTAACAAGAATTTATATTTGTGAAAAAACATTGTCCACACAAAAAGAGTGAACTATAATTGGATCCCCTTGAACTTGGTATGAACTGACAACCATGAACACAAAATACTTTAGACTTCCCTTATTAGCTCTTCCTTGGAGCTGACTCTATCATCAGGAATATGTACATTCCTCTCACTTCAGATTGTCCAAATCACAACCAAAGTTAAAAGTATCGATACACCCGATATGCACGAACAAGTGTATCAGGTGTTCCGATATCTAACTTTTTTTTTTTTTTTTCAAAATTGCTTCAGGGGGGTCAGTTTTAGGACTGCCTACACCCCTTAGGGAGTTGCAAAGCAAGTGTTGAAATCTAGGTTTTCTTGAAGAAAAGAAAAGAGGAAGAATGTGCTGAGAGGTGTGTGTGTGTGTTACTGTTCACACCCTCAAAAAGCTCTCTATATTTTGAAACAAGAAAATTACAAGGAAGCCCCTACTTGGGCACCCAAATACACAGTATACAAAGAGATGAGGAAAAGACTAAAAACACCATTGCCTAAACATTCTCAAAATGGGATTTTGGGGGCCTGCCGATATGATGTGAAAGTTTGGACCTTGATCACTACTAAGGGGATCATTCCCTAGATAATGCTGCCTCTTTTATTTAATTCCCCTAGGCACCAAGTATGCAGATTATTTGGAGTATGGATTAAAATATCGATTAACTTGATACCCAAAGTTGGGTATTGGTGTGTATTGACACGATTGATTTCCATTTTTTCTTTACTTTTTAAAAAAATTATTGGTGTTAGAGGGATGTCATTTGTCATTCCAAAGCTTTAAAACCTTTAAAAGTCTTTTGTATCAGACTATCAGTGTATCCGTGTGTATTTGGATTCATGATACGGATACAATACACCCAATACGGGGTGTATCGTATCAATATTTTAATCCTTGGTTTGGAGGATGTTTTGCAGTGCCAAAAAAAAATAATAAAAAGGATGATATGAACTTTCTGTGACGTCTGAGCAAGGCACACAGTTGCTGTGTTTAGGCCACTTCTGTATTGGGTGTATCGTATCAATATTTTTAATCCTTGGTTTGGAGGATGCTTTGCAATGCCAAAAAAGAAGAAAAAAGATGATACGAAGTTTCTGTGACATCTGAACAAGGCAAACAGTTGCTGTGTTAAGGCCACTTTTGGGGAGAGTGAGAGAACCCAAATCTTTGTTGTGAGGAAGGGGCTGTTGAAGGAGGGTTCAACTCTCTCTCTCTCTCTCTCTCTCTCTCTCTCTCTCTCTCTCTCTCTCTCTATGTGTGTGTGTGCATGCATGTGTCTGTATGTGTAATTGTGCAGTTCCTGTGCATCGAAGTTTTTTCCCCTTTTTAACAGACATCTCTGTTTTATAACAGTTTTACAAGGTAAAGTGAGGCGTGATGTTGGTGTGGAGGTTGTGGGACAGGGAGCTCTAAAGCTTACAGGATTTCTCAGGGAGAAGATGAAACAGAAGAATATGAACTTTGACTCATTATACACAGTTCGCACACTGAAAGAGGTATCCATGCTTTTTTTTTTTTTTTGAGAAAAGAGGTATTCATACTTTTTGTTTTCACACTTATTCGTGGCCTGTACCTCATGGAATACTCTTTTGTTGTTATCGGCATTCATATATAGAAGGGAAATCTTTAATTGGTCTTACTAGAGGATATTAAATGACCTTTAAAATCTGATCCAGTCCTTGTTTCTTGATGGTTGGAATTTGGAAATAAAGAATTGGTGTATGGAATAACCACATTGGATTGGCTCTATTGTTGGCCTAGGATACTGTAGATTTCACCATTTTTGGAGCTTGCTTGTTTAGCAACTACACAACAATCTTGGAAAAATATCTCTTTTTTTAAAAAGGATCATTATAGTTTTCCAGGTTGTTACCAAGAACTTTAAAATATATTTTGATTTTTTGTATTGCACTTAGGGGTATCAATGGTATTTGAAAATCCGATTTCAAATTCAAATTTTGATATAGTCGAATCGAATTAGGATAATTCGAATATCTAATCGATCGAATTCGGATATCCTATTCATACCAAATAGCTACTCGGATTCGGATTTGGATATGACCTGATTCGATTCAATAAATATCCGAATTCAACCGCTTATTTAATTCTTATATATAATATATAAAATTTTTAAATGTTTTATATAACTTATATATATAATAATTAAATTATATAAATAATCTATATATTTATATACTTTATATAAATAAAATATTTATTTTACCTAAAATAATTAATTAGTCGAATTCGAATCGAGTCAAATATTTGAATATTTAATCAGATTCAAATTTGGATATTGCCTGGTCCGTTTCGAATTCAATCCGTTTACACCCCTAATTGCACTTCCCAATTCCCACTTGTGTAATATGGTACATGTTGTAGATGTTGTGTTTAAAATTTAACAGAGAAGGTCTAAAAGGTATTTTCAAAGATCTTTTCTCCCCATGATCTCTTTCCAACTTTAAAGAGGCAAGGACTACACAAAATCAATGAAGTAAAATTTTTGCTCATTTCCTAGAATAAATGGAGCAAAAAAAATTAAAAGATTGGCTAGAGTGTGATTTCCTTTGTGCTTAGCTGAGGACCATGCTGTAGATGGTTTTCTGTAGGGAACACTATCTACAGTACTAGTAACTAGAAGTGATCTGTTACAAGTTGCTGGGGCTAGAAGAAGATCTCAGGGAAGACCAAAAAGGTCATTGGTTTAAGTAGTGAGAAATGATTTGAAGGCCCATATTTAACAATGGAGATGACACTGAATAGAACAGTGGCAGTACAGGGTTTGTGTAGCTAACTCCAATTGAGATGAGGCTTATTCTCTGTACACATTTGCTGATGAAATGGTTGCTGCACTGGCCCACAGAAACTATGCTATGTTGCTGCTGATTATGAGACAGAGCTATCCAAAGATACAAACGCTTCATTTGAAGTTGCGGGTGAAGGTTGGTTTACCCTCTCAGAAGAGCGCTTCCAAACAGGAGAGATCTTATTCAAGCCACGAATGGGAGGACTGTAAGCCCTTGTCCTGTTACTTTTTTGTCAGTCTTTAGAAGTTATGGTCTAATATTTTGTCTGGTGACACTTTGAGTTATCAAGTTACTTCCATGTGTCCCATTATCTTACTAGGAAAACCTAATAAGTTGTTTCTATGGAGGTTATTTGCAAATGCACTGTGATCTTTATGCATGATCAGGCTTGATTGATGGCAGAAAAGCCAACTAACCCAAAAGTTTTTGTAATGACTTTGAAGCTAAAGTCAGGGAATGACAGAAAAGAATTTACTGAATCCTGCAGAAGCCTATTCCTTTTGTATATGTAACTAAGAAACCTTATTAAAAGGAAGAAGGAAAAGCAGAAATCAAAATCTGACTTCCCTCTGTCAACCTGAAATAGAGAAAATAATAAACCAGAAAAAGAAAATAAATAAATAATAAGACAAAGGTTTGATGTGGTTAAGCTTGATATTGTACATGCACAGGAGACAAGAAAAATGACTATTGAGAAAACTGAAGATACACATGTTCAGCCAACTTCTCCATCCTCTCTTGCACTCTCTCAACCCTAGTTTAACTTGAATAATGTGTTTAATAAGCATAACACCTAATTATATCAAAATCACAGCCAGGTTCCTTTCCCTTTCAAAATCACAGCAGTCTCCTTATTGAAGAAGTGATCCATTCTTGTTTCACAGGCACTGTAGAATGCTTGCAGAGTCCACAAGTATCAATGAGGCACTTTCTAGGATGATGTTTTCAGTTCTGTTCTGAGTACATAATCTTTTTCTATTAATTGCTGCTCTAAGCTCTGGTGCTATGTTTGTTGCTTGGCTGTAAAATCTGGCAAAAGCCCATATTATTTTTTCCATTGTGTGTGTGTGTGTGTGTGTGTGTGTGTGTGTGTGAGAGAGAGAAAGAGAGAGTTCAGCATGGTTGCTACTATGCATGTTTCACCTTGCTTTTGCAATTTTGTTGCAGTCTGTTGGTCCAAAAATGGTATGATAAGTTCAATAATTATCCCTTTTCCTCTTTTCTTTTTTCTTTTTTCTTTTTTCTTTTCAAGGAATATTATTTTAAACTAGCTGGTTTGAAGATCTCATGTGCCATGATGTACAGGCATACAATGGGTTTACATCAGGCTGTAGCACTTTGCATGGACCATTGTCAAGCTGCAGAAGCACCAGTTGATGATGGGTGGTTCAAGACCATAGTTTTGGCAGGTGGAACCGCGTGCTTACCAGGACTGCCAGGTATTCATCTAAGAATGCCTACCATCCATGTATTTAATACCATAGTTGTTATACATCCACACTTGCAAGGATGATATGTTGTCATATCAAGACGATCAAAGATATTATATATGAAGGCAAATTGTTGAAGAGATTGAACTGAAACTCCTGATTCATGTCTTAACTGGATTGCAGAGAGGTTAGAGAAGGAGTTACATGGACTTCTTCCCCCATCCATGTCCAATGGAATCAGAGTTCTTCCCCCTCCATATGGTGCAGATTCTGCATGGTTTGGGGCGAAGCTTATCAGTAATGTAAGTAGCTTAGCCACTTAAACAAACAATTCTGTAGATATGTATCCATACATGCATGTAGCATTGCACATCCAACATAAAGAAAATCATCAAATTTTACTATACATAGTTGATATGCAACACTTTCCACAACTTGATTGTAGATCTCTGTTCAAGCTATGGCTGACTTGGTTCCCCCAACTACAAAACAAGTTTTTAAACTCAAAAGTTGATTGAATACTGATATCTCATTGACCTGGCTGAATCCCTTCCCAATCCACTTCGAGTATGAAGCTTTTGAAACTTGCCTGAATATTATGACCACATATGTTATGAATTGTTCATGCTACCGAAAGAGACCTTGTATATAACCATGGGATAACAATGCTGCAGATTTCTTTCAGCAGTGCAGCCACTTGTGCATTTCATCTATTTTAAGATTGGTTAAAATCTCAACCAATTCTGTGGCTAAAAGTCCACAATACATGCATACTCATGCCATACATGCATATGCAAATGCAAATGTGTATCCAGAACTTACATGTATCATGTATGTAACCTATCTCAATCTACTTCATATTGCAAAGCACAAATTATTTTCCAATAAAACTACTTCTTTCGAGGGGGCTTCAGTCCTTACAAAACTACGCTTACACCATCCTCACAGCCTTTTTCAGCCGTGCATTGGGAATATCTCCGTACTTGCATCTTTTTATTCATGGGGAAATATTCTCAATACACGGCTGCAAGGGGCTGTGAGGACAGTGTGAGGACCAAATCCGATTTCCTTTCTTTCCTATCATCTGCATTTATATATAATATATGTTTGTGTTAACACAGCTCAGCACCTTCCATGAGGCTTGGTGCTTGACAAAGAAAAAATTCCGTCAGAAGTCCAGACGTAGCATCATAGGCGCATGGTGACGCATGTAACTCCTGAAGCTCTACAGTTGGTTGCCGGATTCGGGGAGGCGGAAGAAGTTTGCCTAAGAATCTATAAATTGCTTTCTAGATCTTATACATCCCATTTTTTTCTTAATTTTATCCATACAAATAATTAGTATTGCAAACCCTTTGTAGTCAATATTGTAAACAAATACAATGTATGCATTCGCTGTGTTCTGTAAAATGTTAATGTACAATACAGCTTAAATCTGAGAAAGATAAAAGATATGTGTAATAACACGTAACATGTGGCTGAATATAGTTTCATTTTTGGGATGGAGTCTAAAGGGTTTCAATTTCTATGGTTTAAGGGTTGAATAGTTGCTCTGTCTGGTGCCTTTGGTAGCGATCAATTTGTGTGTGTGTGTTTCCGGGTAATGAGCTTGACACTTTATGATGTGCTTTGATTTCAATCAGGCTCAAACTTCAAAGTATCAATACTTATCGGCCCCTATGTATCGTGCCAATGGCTTTCTGATACACCCTTTAAGAGTTGTATCGGGTCAGACTATGGTTCGCTGTGCCAATGGCTTTCTGATACACCCTTTAAATCGACCCCTCTGAACCAGTTTAAAAAATAAATAAATAAAACCTAAAAAAAGTACCGATACAGGCTGATACGTCCTATCAGCATACCGGTATATCGGCCTGTGTTGATACTTTAAACCTTGGATTCTAAGTCTTTTAACTTCTAATACAGCAAAACCAATCAAAAATAAATTGGACTGTTTATTGAGCTAAAGCAGTGGATTTCTTCATGAAGATGAGCTACACAACCCTCCCTCCCTCCCCCCTTGTTTTGGCATGTGTTCCACACTTCCACTAACCTTAGCTCCCATGAAGTGAGGGGCTGAGGTTTTTAAATTATCATATGTTTTCACTTTTCACACGCTAGTAGGACACTATATTTAAACGTAGGGAACTGGTTTGCTAGACAGAAAGCTCCCTAAATGAACCAGGAATTTTCCACGTGGCAACCGAGTTTGGAGGTAAGAGAGGATGTAACGATTTTTTTTTTTTTCCTATTACTTCAACCATTGTCTCTAACTTTGTATTTTGTAAATCAAACTTAAATTTCAGAAGAGAATCCATCACTAGTTCGGATGGTTCAAGAAAACCCTTCCGAATCATAATCATTTTAGAGATGAACGTTGCTGGGACGATTGGATTAGTGCAAGCTTGTTAAACAACAGGTCCCATCAAAGCAAGGGTTTGACAGGAAGGAAACGATTTTGTAACACTTAAAAAGCAGCGAGACAATGGATGAGCAGCAGCCAGACCTAATCAACGAAGGGGAGGAAGGATTTGATGACTTGCTGGTTGGGGTGAAGGCACCGGGAACCCAGGAAAGGCTAATGAACCCACTCCAAAATTATACATATACAAATATATTTATATAAATATATATACATATATTTATGTATGTATGTAAATATGTATGCAAAATATTTATACGAATGTTATATACAAATATGTATGTAAATATATATATGCAACATTTACATCTATACACATATATATGTATAAATGTATATAATTGGGCCGGGTTTGGGCTACCTAAGGGCTAGGCCCAAACCTGGCCCGAAAAATAAAGAAGCCTGACTTCTTGGGCCCAAACCCAGCCCAAGAGCCAAAAATCCAAGCCCAGCCTGTGTAAAATTCCGGGTTGGGCCGGTTCGAGCTCAGGCTGGGCCTGCCCAAGTTGCACCCCTACCTAGAGAAGCCTACGAGGAATCATGAGTCGGAAATTCTAAGGTTGTTTCTGAGATGGAAGAGAAGAAAACTGACAGAAAGGTTGTTTCTGAGATGGAAGCAACAACAAAGTTACAAAAATGATATGGTTTCGTAGTGCAGCCAACAGTGTAGTTGTGGTAATAGGAACAATGGTGTTGTTTAGTGAAAGGGGAGGCCTAGGCTAACATGCTCAATCAAGGGAAGGCGTGTATGCGGGAGACGGGAGATTGGGGGTTTGGGTAGCTGTCGGCCCTCGTATCATTTATATTTCATTAGTTGGGATTTTTTTTTTTGAAATTTTGAAAATAATAGAGGGTAAATTTGATGCTTTGCTTTTTTATCAATATTTAACAACGATGACAATTGTCAGAAAACTTGGAGTACTTTTAAGACAATATGTAAACAMTAAGGGTAGAATTAGTCAATTTCCTAAACCTTAGGGGTACTTTAAGAAATTTGCCCCCTCCCTTTTTTCCTAAACCTCTTCACACTTCACAGGCCTGGTTTCAGGTTTTATACTGTTTCGGGCTTGGGCTTCAGGTCAGGCCCATTAGAATTTTGATAAAAGCCAATCTCGAGCATGGTCCATAAACTTAAGGATTAGTTGAACGCAATAGTTGTTCAGCCAGCTAAGGAACCAATGATATCTTTTCACACCAGTAATAAAATACATGGGACCTACAACTATTTAATTTCTCATTGTGGGCCCCATGTACTTTTTCACTAGTGTGGGACATTACCATTGGTTCCATAGCCCACTGAACAGCTATCGCGTTCAGCTAATCCAAATTTCTAATGTAATCTGTTGGATTCAAGTTTTCATAAAAAAAAAAGGTTGTATATACAATAATGGTTGAATCTATAGAATAAAAATTAAACAAATGTATCTGCAATGCCTTTTTGTTCTATTAATTCAACCCAATCGCTTTTGGCTAAATCATTTACCCAAATAAATGCACTTACCTGGGTAAGTCTTTCCCACCAAGGTAAGTGCTACCCATGTTCTTTTATTTCCCATGTAAATAAGGCAATGACCATTTTAGCCATAAAAATTCATTATTAAAAGGGGTATTTTTTGTCATATTCAAGTGTTGACAACTTTCCCCCAGGTGGAAAAGTTATTTACCCACCTAAAAGATGGGTATCACTTACCTGATTCACACATAAATCTGAAAAAAGAAAGTGGACTTCTTGATTAATAGAAATCAAAATCCCATTAACCAATTTTCCACCCTCTCAAAATCCAAAAAATGAATGCGCCCTTACTGCGAGCAAATCTCTAATTGGGTAATTCAGCAAAGACGGTTGAATGACCAATGAAGGCTGAATAATGCCTATTAGTTGGGGGCTGGAGGATCCTTCACTTGCTGGATGGGTTAAATTAGCCACCTCATCTCTCCATGTGACTTATACATGGTAAGTGGTTCCTAGATCCTACTTGGTGGATGGCTTAGATTGGGTCACATTATCTTTTCACATGAAGGAAACTATGGATGCAATTCAGGTTGCCCAATTTGAAAATTTTCAATCACATCAGGCGCCCATTATATTTGACAAGTGACCAATCCAAATTGCACCGTGTCACGCAATGCTTTAAACCTACCTACCTTTTTTGATGGAACAAGCCTACCTACCTGATTGTAAGGCTGAAAATGGATGAGTTTAATCTAATATTTATTCATATACGATTTTGTTTTGTTCAAATCAGATTTGGATATCTATTTAACCTTAATTAGATTATATGTGAAAATGCATCCATTTATCAATCAATTGGAATTTAGTTGCATTTGAGTGTGAGATATATTTTAAAGTTTTAATTAAAAATTGTTTGGAATTAAGTACAACTTAAAAATAGATAAAATTATTTTTTATTTACAATTGATGTAGGCGCTTTCGGCAGGCCTATGGTATGTCGACATGTGACATTGCGCGGAGTCGGTCAACGCGTCTCGCAGGGTGAAAGTTGGCGCCGAGCGTAGGACCAATGGCGCAACCACACGCGGCGAGCTCGGATGACTGCCCTATCAAGGCCAGATTGCATTCTAACTGTCCGCTATCAATCGATCTTAAGTATAAATAAGGCATGATTCCCCCAAGGTAAAGGATCTGAAACTGGAGCCCAGACTCCCATTTTCTCCAACTCTCATGCTCTTTGGCTTTCTGGCGACCTCAACCAAATCCCTTGGACCTTGTATGCCCTCTTCGCTACGCCCTCACTAACTTGACCATTGGAGTCCCCACCTTGGGTTATCACCCGGGGCCTCTGGCATTCCCTTCCTCGTAGGTACTTAGCCCTAGCCAACCTCGAGCAGGCATCAATCAACCCTCGTCCGCAGCACCCTTCGAGCTCCTCTAGCCCTTGGCCTCGACACGCCCTTAGATCCATCCACTAGCCATCTCGTATAGGAAGCGGAGCAAGTTTGTTGTGTTGTCCTCGGCCAATCCGAGCATCAACAATTGGCACTATTGTTGGGGAACCTCTTCTGCATCATTTCAAAGCTCCTCTACTGGAGACTTACGATGGCACCTCGGACCCAGATGAACACCTGGAGAGCTTCCGGGCACTCATGCTCCTAAACGGGTATTCTGACGCATTGATGTGTCAAGCCTTCTAGGCGACCTTCAAGGGGGTAGCTCGGTGTTGGTTCTCTGGGCTCCCGCCTTGCTCTATCAGCTCCTGGGACCAATTCGCCAACCTCTTCCTCGCCCACTTCATCAGTAGCCGACAATGCTAGAAGAATGTCGTCTCACTCATGGTCATCCGACAGTGACACGGCGAGAGCCTGTGGTCCTACATCGATCACTTCAAGAAAGAACTCAAGGTTTGCGACCATAACCCCATGGTCTCCATGCATGCAGCAATCCAAGGCCTCCTCCCCAGGTCGGCACTTAAGTACTTTGTCGCCAAGACGTCGCCCAGAACCAAGGCAGAATTTTTGAGAAGGGCACAGAAGTATATCGCCGCCGAGGAAGCCTCGGCTGGCGAGCACCGAGGTGGAGAGGCCGACCACGACCATGGCAACTAGCGATACGGAGATAGTTGTCGCGACGACAACAATGGGAAGCCACCAACCTCATCCTACGACCAGTACACACCGCTCAACTCCACCCAAGCACATGTGAAGTGGCCTAAGAAGAAAAAGAGGAACCCCAAGAGGGATGACCCAACAAAATACTGCATGTTTCACCGCGGCGCCGACCATAACACCGAGGACTGCTACAACCTCCAGGATGAGATCGAGTCCCTCATCCACTGCGGATATCTGAAGCAATACGTTGACACCGGCTTCATCACCTCACCCCAATAGCAACGGCCATAGCCAATCACTCGTCATCAACACCTCGGCCACCTCGGCTTCAGGTGCACCCGTAGACTGGACCATGTAACTACAAGAGCTCAGCCTTGGCCGACCATGTAAACATTTTGTAATAAAGAAAGTTTCTCTTACCTCACCTCAAACCCTCAGCGTATACGTTCTCATCTCGACCGAGTTCCCTTCCGCAGAACACAAACCTTCACCAAGGTTACACGCTCAGACTGGACCTCAGTCCAAGGCACATGATCCTTGGGGGTCATATGCCTAATCGCCAGGTCCCTTACTTCAGTCGACCGCCTAGCCATGGTAGACAACCTTCACCATGGTTACACACCCAGACCGGACGTCGGCCCAAGGCACACAACCCTCTAGGAGTCGCATGCCCTCGGGCGATCGATTGGTCGTGGCACACAACCTTCACCAAGGTTACACGCCCGGACCGGATGTTGACCCAAGGCATACGGCCCGCTGAAGGTCATGCACCTGCTCGTCCCTCATAACAGGGGACCTATTGGACCTCAGTCGCAGCTAATGTGTTGGCCCTTGATTTCGGCTTCGGTCTCGGAGAGACCCTCCAAGCGAGCGAGTCCTCATCTAGGCTCAAGAGCTGGCATCGGCCCTCTGCTCAACTCACTTCATGGTAGAATAGACATGCTGAAGGGAACAACACCACCTCGCTAAGACCAGGGTGGTCCGCGACGCCAGCCGAGCTCTACACACCCTTGGCATGCGCCTCCCTTTCCTTCTCGTTAAGGAAGGGTCCTCGCGTTTTCGGCAGGGAAGCTAGGCCTCGGCCTTACCCACCTGGGTGATTGGGCATATGGGTTATTGAGCGATGAATTTTTGCAACTTGTGACTTCTCAGAAGGGGGCACCGACCCCTACACAGAAGAAATGCAACCGCAAAAAGGCACAAGATATGCAAAAAATTCCATTCTGTGCCAAGCAACCCAGAACGGGCCTTAGACCTCGGAACCTCTTCGGCAACCTAGCTCGCCGATGACTCTTTGGACTCACCTCGCTTCACCACCTTGGACACCCTCCACACCTTGGCTGGCGCGCACCCTCCTATCCGATGACCTCACCCCCCTCACCTCGGGACACCGTCACCTCGAGCAATAGCCGCACCTCAACAGCCCCCTCGACGGACACGCACCCTCTTCAGCTCAGGGCAATGTCACCTTGGGCGCCTACAGCTTTACATCCGCCGCCCTCCTCGTATAAAAGCCGCAAAACAATGGCACAACAAGCAACCCGCAACGGAAACGTGGTAGCCAACGAAGGAATCCAAGCAACCGAGCAAGCACCTCCCAGCCGAGGTACCCTCTTGGCCAAGAACCCTCCCACCGAGGTACCCTCCTGGCTGAGGTACCTTCCTGGCCAAGGACCCTCCTAGACAAGGTGCCCTCTAAACCTGTCTGTCGAATGGGCCCTCGCCCAGTACCCTCTCTAGCAGCAAAGTCCCTGGCATTCAGCAGCATCCCTACTAGGGCTGTTCATGGGTCGGGTTGGGTTGGTTTACAGTGGTTTTTCCAACTGACCCAGTGTTAAGCAAAACCGACCTAGTCGGTTTGAGTCGGGTTGGGTCGGTTTAGGTCGGTTTCGGTTCTAAGTTCATCCCTGTGATAAAATCTTGCTAATTTTAAAAACAGTCATAAATTGAACATCATTTTAGTCATCTCCTATGATAAAATTTAAATGAAAAGTTAATCACAAAAGTTGTTCATTAATCACTATTCACTAATACAAAGTTTCTTGCAACCACTCAAAAACTAGGTGGCCTAATGGGCTTTGAAACTTCATGTTTGAACTAGGAACTAAGTCGGTTCAGTTCGGATCGGTTTCGGTTTTCTTGTGTGAAAACCAAAACCAACCCGAATCATCGGTTTAAGAATTTACACAACCCAAAACCGACCCGTGCTGATGAAAACCTGGCCGACTCGGATTGGGTCGGTCTGGGTTGGTCGGTTTGGTCGGGTTGGGCCTTCTTATGAACAGCCCTAATCCCTACACAAGCACGTGAAAGCGAGCCGATGTGTCGAGCAAACAATAGGAGTCTTCCTACCCGGGCGAGCGAATCTGAGGCTAGCCTGTGCTGAAGCTTCCTCCACCACCTAGGGCTCAACTCGACTCCCCACCAAGTGGACCTAAACGACCAACCCTCTGCACTAGATACAAGGGAACATCGCGCTGTCTCGCNCTGTCTCGCATATGGTCAGGACCTAGTGCCCACCCCGGGCATGGTCCATATCTTCAACGCCGAGACCCGCCACACGCACGAACAACACCCGACGCTGAAATTCGTCTCGAGCACGGCCACAGCGCATCCACCCGCCGACCGCACCTCGCACAGTGGTGACTGGCCGAAAGACGACGCCTGGCCCGCGCACTGACTCATCGGCTCATTTGAAGCACACGAATGGGGGGCACATGCACCTCATACTTGTAAAAAGCATGGTACCAAGCTACTTGGAGCTGAGGTCGATGCCTCCATGCTCTTCAGCCCCCCACTAAGGTTGTTCACAAATAAATCCAAACCGACCAACCCGGCCCAACCCAACCCGAGTTTGTCGTTTTTTTCACCACCAGTGGGTTTCGGGTTGCAAAAATGAACAAACCGATAATTCGGTTCGGTTTCAATTTTCATACTTGAAAACCAAAACCGAACCAAGTTATGTGAAAAAATATATATTAAATATAGATATTTTAGTTTTAAATAATAAATATATATCTAAAAATATATATATTCTGAAATATATTAGATATATATTTTCGAAATATATATTTCCAAAAATTAGAAAATATATATTTCGATATATTTGTATATATGTTTTGGTTTTAAATATATATTTCCATAAAATATATTCTAAAATATTATATATAATATTAGCACTTTGACTTCATGTGCATTGTGCAAGCTTGGAGTTGGTTGAAACCCAAACCGACTCAAACTGACCAAGTCGGTTTTACTTAATAGAGGGTCGGTTTCGGTTTGGTCTATAGGTAACCCGACCAAGTCATGTCGATTGAAAAAACACTATTAAACCGACCCAACCCGACCCGTGAACAGTCCTACCCCCCATAACCTCCTCAAGGAGCAAAATCATCACGGCAACAAACGAAAACCCCTCAGAGCTGAGGACGACATCTACACGTTCGTAGGCCAGGCTACTCCCAATAAGACTTCAACCCTAGCAAACGTCTCCACGCTCCCAAGCCAGGCTATCCTCAGCAACTCCAGAATCGTGACCAACACCTCCGCACCCTAAGACCGCACTCTCCAACCTACCTACAGCCGAGGTCCTCGCCATAGAAGGCCACTCAGCACCTCCTAGGAAGAATGACACTCTCTATGGTTGGAGTCAAGGTCCTTAGCTAAGACCTCCATCACGGCCTCGAGAGTGGGGGGTAAATGATGTAGGCACTTTCAGTAGGCCTATGGCTTGTCAACAAGTGGCACAGCGCGGAGCCAGTCAGTGCGTCTAGTAGGGCAGAGGTCGGCGCCCAACGCGGGACCAAGGTAAATGATTCGCAACTAGAGCCTAGACTCCCATTTTCTCCAACTCTCATGCTCCCTGGCTTTCTGGTGACCTCGTCCAAACCCCTCGGACCTTGTCTGCCCTCACTAACTTTACCATCGGAGTCTCCGCCTCAAGTTCACCTGGGCCTCTGACGTTCCCTTCCTCGTAGGTACTCAGCCTCAGCCGACCTCGAGCAGACTTCATCAACCCTCGTCCACAGCACCCTTCAGGCTCCTCTAGCCCTCGATCTCAACATGCCCTCAAATCCATCCACTAGCCATCTCGTATAGGAAGCAGAGCAAACAGGGCTCCTCTAGCCCTCGACCTCGACACGCCCTCAAATCCATCCACCAGCCATCTCATATAGGAAGCGGAGCAAGTTTGTTGTGTTGTCCTCAACCAATCCGAGCATCAACAACAATATATAATCTCTTAGTTTATATACAGTTTTGTAAATTTTTGTTAACTTTGTACTGACCGAGTTTAGATGCAATGTTACCATCCATGGAGATATTTCAGATCTAAACCATGGTTTATGCAGTTTGAAGATTTTCAATATAAATCTTTCAAAAAAAAATGATCTAAGGAAAAATTGACACTTTGGAGTAAGGGTGGCAACAAGCTGAGCTTTTCATGAATTGCTCAAGCTCGACTCAACTCAATTTCAACCAAGCTCGAGCTCGAGCCTACTAGAGCTTGGCTCGTGAGGCTCGCAAGCCAATTCGAATAATAAAATTATAAAAAATAATATATATAATAAAAATATTATAATTCTTAATTTTTTAAATATCAAATAAAAAATATTTTTATATATAATTTTTTTTATTTTTATAAAATATTTTTTCTCAAAATCGAACTTAAGCTAATGAATTTTTTACTTGAACCGAGCTCGAGCTCGAGCCTTATAGAACAGTCTCGAGCTTAGCTCGAGCCTGAGTATACGGCTCCGCTCGGCTCTAATCCACCCCTACTTTGGAGAATAAGTGCCCAAAATGCACATCACATCACCATTTGTAATTGGTATTGTGGAGTTAAAACTGTTTAGGCACAACTTACAAGTGATTAGACACAAAGGAACCAATGGCTCAAAGTGTTAATAGTCTCTCTCTCTATAAATCGAGAGTTTGGGCACAGCTCAACCATTATTTCATGCTTTGGTCTGATGTTGTCTTGGCAGGCGATGCGTCGTATCACATAGTAAGAGTTAAAAATTCTAGTTGGAGGCTCTAAGAGCATATGTTTCCTTAGACTTAGCAGAGTTAATTATAATGATTATTCAAGGGGAATTTTTGTATGTTGGCAAAAAATCCCAATCACTAACGCCACACTACATATTAAGCTACTGTGGGACCAAATGATTTATGTGAACATGATGTTAAGTAACTCAAAAAACCAAACCTTGTAGTTTTAGGTGGTGTAAACGACAAGTTCACAGCAATAAGGGCGAAAAGGCATCCATCCATGTTTACCATTACATGTAGGCCGTAGGCAAAGGAACAAGTATTTAGAGTTGGAACACTGCATCCCATCAAAAGCCCTCAAGATGGATGGCTCTGGGGGCCAAGTGATTCTGCTCATCTCCCTAGGGAAATAAATAATAAAACAAAGTAAAAAGTGAAACCCACATGGGTCAGAGTCAAGGGGTGAAGAACAATTGAATAAAGTGCCGCCATATAACATTTGCATTATTTTCTCAATTTGTTTATACACGGTGAGAGTTGGGGAATGACCCCTGTATAACTCTACGTGACTTCTGTTGCAAACGGAGTACTTCCAGGTAAATGAGAAGAACGAGAAAATTTACTGAAATTTTAGCGTAGGATATCATCCAGGAACAAAAAAGCCAAGATAGGGAGGCCTCTTGCAGAGGACATCTTTCCTGCACAACCATCTGAATCCCAATGTACAGATCAAATGACTAAGGGCTGATGCTGAACCATATAGACTATTGCATCAAAACCAGCAGAACCATTTGTCTCACCCTGTCCACACAAAGCATGGTCCACCACTGTCCAAATTTTCAACAGAATATCCTCCTCCGCTGCATCAAGAACCCTTGTCAACATTATATTTTGTCCATTCCCTTACATATCTAAAGGCTGTACAAACTAGTTTATAAACCTTGACCTTGTATAAATGAATGAGCAACAAATTTGTTATAATTGGAGGATCAAACCTCGGTTCTCTCTTATACAATTTCAGGTAGTGGTGGTGAATTCATTGAGCATCATGGAACCCAACCTGAACTATTAGAATAATCTGACCAGATTGTCTCCTCTAATTTATAAGACACTTCTCAGGTAATACTAAACTCATTGACCACATAAGCAGTCCTTATATGAAGCAATGAAGCAATGAACCACCATCATGGTAGAGAACAAGATAGGGCTCCACTGGTTTGGCTTCTTTTAGTGAATGGAATCTTGTGAAAAAATGTTTGGAAAACCAAAACTTGATGCTCATGGAAACAATACCTAAAGAGGAATATGAACTTGGCTGAGAACACTACTTGGTGTAGATTCAAAAATCTGAATGGAGCCACTAAGCTCCAATGAGTTACTACCTAATTTTGACCAACTTATAATTCCATTTTTCATGACCTTACAAGTTGGCCATCCTTTGAGCAAAAACTACAACTGTGAAGGAAAAAAGGAAGGCCCTAAAAATAAGTGATTGCAAGAGTCGGGATTATATATAGTCAGTAATAACTTTTGAAGTTACATTGCACTATAAAAGGATGGACAGTGTTACGAATAATGGACAAAGTTTAGTTACAGATTAAAAAAAAAAAGTACTGGGAACAAGATGGCTTTTCTCATCGAGGAACTTACCCGAAACTGGGACTCCCGTATGCCCTCCAGTAGCTCTGCAATCTCAAGTTGTTTCATCACTGTAGCATGTAATACCTGAAAAACAGTACATTCAAGCAAATTATAACCTGGGACCTAACTTATAGGAATTAAGTCAAACATCTAAAAAGTGGTGAAAAAAGTTACCCTCTTGGTCTTCTCAAGGTCAAACTCAACAGATTTTATTCGATCCATAGATTCCAGGAGCAATTGTTCCTTATCCAAAGGTATTTCTACAGGCTTTGTCCTAATTTCCTCAAATAATGTCTCAAGTCTCTCAAGACGCTGCAAACAAGGATGAACATGGTTTTCTTCCTTAACTATTTCTGAAGCAGGGGGATGAATTTGTGGAATTGGTTCCTCCAAATTAGAAGTATGGGTGTTACTTGGTCTCCTCACAAGACCGCAACGTAGAAAATGGAAGAAAGCAAGTAGTTTGACCACAAGAGCCACCAGTCCTCTAGCTATATACTGGTAACTCCCCTCCTCTACAGTATTATTGGAACTGTTGAATCCATTGGAGACAGCAATGCCTGATGAAAGCATAAGTTAGATGAAAAACAAACAAGATATGACGAAACCAAAAAGGACCATCCAAAATTTCCAAGGAATCAGAACATTATATTTAAGGTCTCATCTTAACTTTAAGTTTGTTACCACAATTACAACATTCAAAAGAGTGCAGAAAAGGTAACACCATAAAAGAAACAGATAAAGTGATAGTTTTCATCTGATAAGTAACTACCTTGTGGCTTTGATATTACATCCCTAGAAGGTTTCCCTTGCTCAATTCCAGGAGATTGGTCCTCAGAGGGTCCAGCTCTTCCTCGGCCATAGTCTATAGTTTTATCAACCACAGTAAAGTGGTCATCACAACTATAATAAGCAGTTGGATCTGATGCCCTGGCCTGTGTAAACTACAAATAGAATAAAATAATTATTGATAATTGATCAAAAGTTATCTATATGATCAATTAATTGCATGGAGATTTCATGGATTCAGATGAAATCAGCATAGAAAAAGTCACAAAAATGAAACAAGTATTTCTTGTTGATCTGAAATTTATATAGAATATCTATCTTTATGATGCCATGGATTTAGAATACCCATGCTGAAAGTAGAATTGTCTAAAGATTTACTTCATAACAAAAGAGACCTAGTTCAGTTTGGAGAGATTTCTGTTTAAGTCAAAAGTGGAGACAACCTTGTTTTGTTTTAAGAATTTTTTTTCTTTGCTAAAATAGGCTTTAGGGTCTAAAGAACCAGTTGGTCCCCAATTTAAGTCTACAAACATGCCAAATATGTAATATGATAAAATAGGGACCGATCAATAGAGACCCAAAAAAAACAACTTCAACCACTCAATACTTATGTAACATGTAGAATCAATGTATTGGTCAATCAAGGGAGGAAAAAATAGAATGGGAAAAGAAGGATCACATCTCTCATGGCTGATACCCACCAACATTTTGAAAATGGTGAAGTTACCTCAAGATCAGAATATGCTTATACAAAGATTCTTGGCCCCCTTCTCTCTTTTAAATTGACAATTCTAACTTCAATGGCCCAAAAGTAAGACAGTTCTCTTTTGTTTTAATCAATAAGTAAGTCAGTTCTTTAAAGTCAATCTAACCCCTGAAGACAGCACTTACATGAACAAACAACAGAAAAAGGAACAATGTGAGCATTTTCATACTTTTTTGTTAAAATAAGGAAACAAATTAAAGAAATGCAGAACCTCTGTTGTGCTGTTTGGTCTGCCTTTTATTCATCCATTGCTGCACCTGTGATCTGCCTTTTGAAGGTGATGAGCAAAGAAGGGAATTCTCAGAAAAGGAAAAATATTAAAGGACATCATCCAATGATGGTCCCAGCTATCTGGGGTCTTGGGATGGGTCGACTGGATACAGTCTCCAGTCTGGCCTTATCTACACAAAGTGGCTGCTCTCAGACTCAAACTTGCATTCTCATGCTTGCAAGCCTGAGATTTTACCATTACACCAAGTAATGGTCCCCAGAAGAGAGAAAATTATATAATGAAAAAATTAAAAGTCCACAACACTAAAGGTTGTTTTGGCATGCAGGGTGCAATTCAAGGCTCCAAAAAAGCAGTCAATAAATCATATTCTCCATATTATTTCTCTTTCTTCCAATTTTTATTAGCTCTATTTGCTAGGTTTTGTTTCTTAAAACATATTATTATAAAACTCCAGCACCACCTTCTTGCTTACAGTTTCAATACAGCATAAACAAGTCCTAATTCTTCATCCAAAACCTTTCCTCACAATCAAACTCTCGGCCTCAACCAAACACCTAAAGGGCAGCCCAGTGCACGGGGTTCCCACCAATGCGGCCTCAAGTAAACACCTACACTCTTATAAATCAGAGCGTGAGTAAATTCACCAATATCTTTTTAATTTGATACACTGTTCTTAAATAGGAATACACGATACCACTATTCCTTTTTTCTTGCAAAAACCCAGTATACAGTGCCTCAACATACATGGGCACTGATGTATACACTCACTCTTCTTAACAGACATTAATACAAATTCTATACTTTACTCTTGAACAAAAGAAAAAAAAAAATTATTTCACACTTCTTAACAGACATTAATACAAATTCTATACTTTACTCTTGAACAAAAGAAAAAAAAAATTATTTCACACTTCTTAACAGACATTAATACAAATACTACTGTACATCTTGAACAAAAGGGATAAAAGGATCTATCTCGCCACAACAGTAGTGATGTCCAAAGTATCTGAACTGAGACTGACTGATGTTTGATTACTGGTTATACAAGCTTGCAACAAAGCTCTAACAAAGATTGCCTGAAAAAGGATACGGGTTACCTACCAAAAATAACACCACTTGAAAAACAAAAGAAAGAGAAGGAGAAAGGAAGACGAAGAAAATGTGATATGGATGAAGTTTCAAAACCCAGCTGAACGTTGGGTTTGTAGTCCAGTCCATCTGCGGGTAGAGATTGATGAAGTATTTATTTTACTTTATTTTATTTTATTTTTCTTGAAGAAGAGAAAATGATGAAGTCTTTGTCCTGCACGAAGAAGCCATCTCTTCCCAAAGCCAAGTAAAAGTTGCACACCCCAAAAAAATGGATAGTTGTCACTTGTCACTGACTTGGAAAAGGAGAACACAGCCATTTACCAGTGGAAGTAGGTATTCCATAGGAGAGAAATCCCCAGTTTAAAGAACAAACCACCAAGGCAAATAAATACAAACACAACATAACTCATAAGAAGTGAGAACCTTCACTAAACTATTTGTCTTGGATGAGAAGCAACAATGAGCAGGACTCAAATCAACGGCCATGTTTATAACAACAATAGGTTGAAAATGTTGGAGCATTGGACCTCATTGGTTTTTAACATCAAACCACTATAGATTGAGGCCTTTAGACAACAAGAAAACACGTTTTTCATGCCTGCGGCTAAGGGTGTTTTCTGTGTCTTGGTGTAATTGAGGCATGGGTGTGTGGCATGGCTGAATTCCCCCAAGCCCAACTGTGGTGTGGTTGTGTTGTTACCCTAAGTAGATGAGGCCCAACTTTTTAACATTGTTATACCTACTAGGGCCATTCTAAGTTGTCTACTGCAAGCCATAAACCAACTCCTTTGGAACTATGTCATTATGATGCCCTCATACGGATAAAGACACAGATAGGGTTATGGTTATCCCATTTAATATGCTTATATACCTAGTACTTGAAGCCAACTATCATTTCTCAGTACTTAAATCTTGACATATTCAATTAGCATTTAAAATATCTAGGTTTTTCTATGGTTTTAACATATATAGCTGTTTTATAGCATGATTTACAAAAAAAAAAAACATACAATTTACATATTTCAAGTGTCAATAAAATATACACTATAAGTTTCCATGCTGTATCTGGGCTCTCATATTGAGTATGTATCGTGTCTACACCGGTAGCTACTTTCTTTTTCTTTTCATCAAAACAGTTTACAATTCATTCCCAGGTCTTAAACAACCCCACACTAAACTTTGCCTTGAAATCCTGACTTAGCTAAGCTATCGGCAAGCTCGTTTGCACTCCTTGGATCCACACTAAACAACCCCACTTCTTCCTAATGACTGAGTTTCTCTAACTGTGAACCTGAATTTCCATGGAACCACATTTTTTGTATGAGCAGTTCAATGCTAAGTTTTTCCCGTATGTATACTTAACTCCAGTTTCAATAGAAATTCATGTAAAACAGTAAAACACCAAAAAGAGACGGGAGTAGAAAACATTGACAGAATGTAGGTTCCAACGAACAATACTAAGCATTAGTGATTAGACATATAAAACTGGGTGGTGAGTTCTAACTTACTTCTTCATGAACAGGGGCCAGTCGAGGAAATCTAAAATTCCTATGTCCAATGGGAGAACAAGGATCCTCTATATCTGATCCAGATTCAGCTGTTGAAGTATCACTACATCTTCCCTGATGTTAAAGACAAATAAATAAATAAATTATGTTAGATCATAATAGAAAATGAACTTCATCAAATGATCTGGCAAATTAATTTGGATATCACGAGTCTAGACTTGCCTTAAGTGGGCGTATCTTGATATAGGAGTCAACTTTCTGTTCCTCATCAGATATTCTTGTTATTTGCCTCACAAATGTTGCTTCTGCATTATGTACAAGCTATGAATGAAACAAATAATTAGTGCAACATATCTTTGGTTGATAACCATATACCACTCAAGTTAAATCTCAAAGAAAATGCCATGATTTTTTTTTTTGATGAATAAGAAAATGCCATGATTAGAGAGTACAATTGATAAAGTATTAGAGAGTACAATCAACACCATTTGACCAAAGGGGAGACCTTCTACCTTCATTATGTCAGGATCAGTCCATGGTCCTTTATTAGATCTAAGGCACCCTCCTTCAGTAGAACATGTGCACAAGCCACCCAAGAAATCGGGCAATTGGCTGAAAGAGTGGATAGGAATTAAAAGGCATACCAAACAAATAACCAAGTAACAAAAAATGCAAAGGTACATACAAACCATGAATCAATAACTTCTAGAAGTTTACTCAAAGATTTAGGCTCCAGCACCTGCAGATTCAGAGGTTGAATGTGTGTATCATGTTAAAGCTGCAGAATAAGTATACTATAGTCTGATACAATATCTAGACCCAATACTCTCTTTACCTGTATCTTCGCAATAGTCCTTGGGTCAACAAATTTCTTGGCAGCAAGCCAAAGCATCTTGAAGCCAGGACCAGCATTAACAATGAACATCCTATGCAGCGTCTGCACATAAGAATAAGTGAATAATACATCCCAAAGAATTTCTGCAAAAAAGTATGTTTTGTTAACTTCAAAGTGAACTTCTGTAAAAATTATATCCACTGCAGAGAGTTATGTACCTCAGGGTAGTAATTTCCATCTATTTTTGCCATACCAGCCAGGAGGTCTGCAGCAGTCTTGGTGAAATTCTTAATACCCTGTTTCTCAAAATAGAACACAAGTGAGAAGTTCTGAAAATGAGAGTTGGTATAAATTTTTGGAAGGTTGATCCTTTCATCAAAACATGGGAACACTCTACATTTGCTTCTAAGAAGATGCAAGGATAAAATAGAGCTCACAGCATACCAAGCCTTGCACGTCCAAGATTGTTGTAGTTGAACCAATGTGTTTTTTTGCTGCAATTGAACATGCAGGGAACTTCTCACGCAAAGCCTTCTCAAACTCTTGTACATGGTACTTTAAGTAGCGGTCAACTGTGGTAATGCGTGTTAGCCGATTTGGGTGAGCTTTCCCAAGTCTCTCAATATATACTGGCCTTCCTTCTTTATCAATTCCATGGTAACCTTGAGGATAATGTTGCAAAACTTCTTCCAGCTCTTCAAATTCGAAGTCCTTTATATCAGTTAAAATTTATTAATTTTAGAAGGTGCTACCAAAATAACCATAAATCTTTTGAAGTATGAGCTAGGATCATTATACAATTTATCGAATTTAAAAGACTAATAAAATTACATTGGGTTCACTTGGATCTGTTAATGATCAAAAGATAATACCACAATTCTGAAGCACAGAAATAAGCTAGTATTCTGTACAAACATTTAGCAATTAGCATTGGCTCCAAAACACACTGCAGGTATGATGAAAATACGATAATTACTTTGAAACTACAATTATGTATTCTACAATCTGAAGGGATCTAGAAGCATCAAGAATTCATAACATATTAAAATATGCTTATTTGATTAGCCAATTAACTATTATGTGATTAAGTCACCTTGCCTGGCAAGGAAAAGTTGATAGTTTTGTAAATTAAGAGAAACAGTATAAAAACTAATGTCGTACCTCCAATATGGCATCTGTTCCATACTCTTTTCTCCAGTGAAGCATTTCTTCCCACATATGGATTGTTTTCTCAATGTTAAACTCCCTTGCTTTCAAGAATCTACAGCAACAGTTAGGAACACCATAGGTGAAGGTGGAAAAAAACAAAGGAAACAAAAACCAGGGAATATAAGAATTAAAAAATACATTAAATATCCTGTGAACAGGTTCATATGTAACGGGCCTAGCAAAAAATAGCACCAGAAGCATTGATGCATATGGACAAGGAAATTTTTTTGCTCGAACTTTAGTTTATTAACAGGACAAAAATGCAATAACAACCGAACTGACCTCAACAAAGTATGATAATCATCATGCCGGGGTGGCAATAAATCCCTGTGGAGTAGTTTTTGACGCAACTCAAGGACCGCACTCTCCTCTCTTGCATCCCGGATGTCCTCTATGGAAACCGAGGAAACCCTGTAATCGAATTTCTTTTTTCCTCGTTTCTTAAGAGAATGAGTGAACTTGTTGGAGGCATTTATTGCTTTCTTCTTGAGAGACCCAATTTTTGTCCGGCGTCTCTCATCTTCAGAGTTCTCGACATCGGATCTCCTTTCTCTTATTTCATCATGAATCCCATGTCCTTCTAGGCCTTCAATTTGACAAATTGAAAAGAATCATTGTTAGGCATCAGATCCATCTTCCTTTAGTTCTTCTCGATCTAAGAGCCCTACATATACATCTTGAAACTAAAGCCCTTACCTGACATTTTAATCCAAAATAACGGAAGAAGTGAAATTGGACTTCAGCCTCAAGCTTTAAAGAACAACCTCTGATTGATGGCAAACCATTGGAAAGCCATGTTGATTCTACAGCAACAGAATGAAAAGAGATTACAAAGTAAGAATAAATCGCAGAATGCAAATGATATTGAAATACGATATTGAAATACGATAAAAGCAACTTATTTCGAGGGGGGGACATCTTCTCAAGTTCAACATTGACATGGAAAAAGAAGGCTACAAATTGAAGTCTGAAAAAAGAATCTAATTTCTTTTCATTTTCGTGATGGAAGGAAAACAAATCAGACGTTGCTAGATGTAAAACTGAAAATCCAACAAAATACGGGAAATATTTTCAAGCCTTTACAGAGAATGAGAAGCTACGAACATATATTATTGAAAAAAAAACAATTAGTATTGCTTTATGATGGAAGAAAAAAAAAAACTTAAAGCAGTTGCTAATAGAAAACAAACCACACTTATTCCTCATACTGGATTTCCAATTTTTTCTTTAAAAATAAAAGAACCTTCAGATATATCAAAAACAGGAACTCGTGTTCAGCTAAAGATTCAAGACAAAAATGGAATCCTGCTCAAAACAACCAACAATCCAGAATGCAAAGAAAAGAATAGAAAATCAACAAAGAAAAACCACCAAACCACTCAAAATCTTTGTACACCAAAGCGTAAGCTACAGAGTCATTCACGAAAGTAAAACCGTCCAAAATCGCGGTATATCCAACAATTACACAAATTCATTGAACAACAAATCTGGAGATACCAAAGCTTGATCAAATCCCAATAATGCCGGTAACCAACCATGGAAACTCAAACAAGAACCTTTAGAAAAACAAACCAAGCGTACCCTCCTCAAAACAAAATAATGGAAATCCAAGCGTACCCTCCTCAAAACCCTAAGTTGAGATTGAGACCTGAAAAATCTCAACTTAGTCGCAACTGATCTCTTTCTCCCAGTGAAATCCACGAGAGTCGGAGTGGTTTTCACTTTTCAGACCACTCAAATAACAGAGAAAAAACCCATAAAATTAGGGTTTCTCCTCTCTTTTTCTCTTTACAATGACAGGCTTGGAAAATGTGGGAAGAAGATGTTTTCTAAAATTTTCCCGGAAACAAAAAAGATGGAAGAAAGACACAAGAAAAATAGAAGGTCCGAGCGCTTCTTTCACTCAAGACTCAGCATCCTCTTTTTGAGCTCCCTGCATCTTCTAATTTTATATACGTGTCCTTATATTAATAATTTTTATTTTCGTTCGCGTGAATTATTAAAATAAAAAAAGGAAAAAGAAACAAAAACTTCACTTTCGGCAAATCGTACCGACGCTGACAAGGATCGCCGAGTTGCGCCAAAAGCTACGTTGGTTAAAACTGTAAATAACAGAGAATGAAATGTCTTGTTTGCACTCGTTCACACAGAGACCTCGTTAAAAGTTAAAAAGTAGTCAGAGAGAGAGAGAGTATAATAAATAAATTAGAAAATAATGTAAACGTAAAAAGGAAGATCAAAAATTGTATTTTGAGCCCTAAAAAAATCCATCTTTGTATTGTATTATGGAATTGAATTGATTAGCTTCCTAGATTCTTGTTCGAGGGTGCGGATTTCATCCAGATTGCAGTGTGTTGTCTCACGACTAGGCGTAGAGAAAAAAGGTAAAAGAAAAGACAATAGATTATCGAGGAAATCAGTGTTTTCAAAATCGAACCTGACCGTATGGTCGGACCAGAAAAACCAGTCCGTTTCACTCAAAATTGTCTTTAGGCCAAAAATCGTTGATTTGATCAGCATGACCTGAGCAGTAGAATCATTGAACCATCAATCCAGAGGATAGTTTTTGGCTATTTTTTCTTTTATTTTTTTATCACAGCGGGCCATCTGTTCGACCCGAGTGTCTGATTCGATTTTAAAAACCTTAGAAAAAATAACAAACCAAATTGGAGCTTGATTGGCCCATTTTGCTTTGGGGTGGGCCATGTCTTTTAGTTTTGATCCAAGTATTAAAATATCGATGATAAGTGGCGTATTATATTCGGGTATTAATGTAGCTTATTACACTTGAATACATTATTCATATACAAAATTTAATAGGTTCCGTCTGGGAAAAATGTAAATAGAGTCTAAATACAAACGTGGAATGCATTCTGGTACTTGTAAATGTAACGTTGGTTTACTTTGTATTTATAAATTTATTTTTTTGCCAAACACTTTTTTACTTGTAATAGTCATGAGACTAGAATATGCCTTTTTTAAGATTGATCAATTTTGAGTGCAAAAGTTTGTATCAATTATTGGATATAAACTTTGCTCTCATTTTGAATGCAAATATGTCTTAGAATCTACATTTTTTGTCATTGTCAATACACTAATGCATTCTTGCCAATTACTATGGTTCAGTTTGGAAAAAGTACAAATGTGAATATATAAAGCGTAAATACATACAAAATATAAGATTTTGCACTCTACATATTTGCATTTGTACTCCTTCCAAACTCGGCCTATAGCAAAAGTGAACCAGAGTACATATTTGCATTCAGCCAACGTTTGCATTTTTTCCAATGGAGCCTAAACATTTCAAACATTTTAGCCCTCTTCCCCAATTCCATGTTTAAGTATGGAGAATATTCATATTTTGATCCTTAATTGGCAATTTTTTGCACTGTACTTTAGGCTGTGCTTTGTTGCAATGCAAACAAATTTGTATTGATGCAAAACTATGGCAGTGCAAATGATTTGAATGTAAATTCTGAACTATTTTTTGTTTCAAATTTTAGCTTATTTTATTTGATTGCAATACAAATGCAGTAAATTAAGACACAAAGCAAAAATAGAGTAAAATCCAAAACAAAATTAAGCAAAATTAAGACACAATGCAAAACTTTTTTCATTTGCATTCTCATGTACAGTCAATTCAGATTCATTTGCTTGTTGGCCCCTAATTAGCTGAACTTGATTGCTGTATAACCAATAATAATGTGTCACATCTATGAAGTGAGAGATCGAGTGGTGGTGGATCACATACAACTTATGGCTAACGTGGAACATTGCTATTGGATACACAGCCCCTAATACAGCCATCATGCTAAGCTAAACTGAATTCTAGCTAAAATCTCTTAGAATCAGAATCGGAATAATTTATTCCCATAGTCGGTTTGGTTCAGACAGGAATTGGAATCAGCTAGAATGAAATTTCATTCCCAATAAATGAGAAGAAATAAAAATGAGATTCCAATCAAATAGTTGAAATCAAAATGGCCTATTTTGATTCTAATAATAGAGTCCTATTCAGACGAACCAAACGGGCCCTATATTCCTTACTTGCAATTATAAAGCCTATTTAGGAGGGTTTATGTATTGATTGAGCTGCGTTAACTGAATAGCTTCGGAGAAGCTACCAAAACTAGGTTCTAGGTTCAAGTTTGCAATTCAATGACGCTATTTTTCAGCTTTCCAGGATTTTCATCAAACACGACTTCCTTGCATTCTGTGCGGGACCTACCTACAACGCCGGAAGCCACTGCAGGAAAACCCTCTCAAACGGGCACATAGTGTCTTGTGGTTAGCATGTGGGCTGTGGCCCAGATCCGCCTTAATCGGGTACAAACCCAAATGAAATGGTCATTCAACAATAACTCTCAATTTTCAAATTTACAAATATATATAGAGTTACTCTCCTAATGGTAAGTAGAATGGCTGTGTCTACAAAACAGGAGATTTAGCCAATGGATGAATCCATTTCCAGGTGCTCAACTTCCCCTAATAATAAATAATAAAGTTTAATATTATGCAAAGACAGATAGTCTATGCATGTTCTGTCCAAAAGTAACCTGCTTCCAGTAAAGCAAAAGTTTAATGCAAATAAAGTACAAATTAAAGTTTTTCTTTGTCTATAAGCATAATTCATTAAAAGGGCAAACTGTAATTAAAGATCCAATTACAATTAGAATATGTAATAAAGCTGAATGTGATTTGCCAAAAAAGCAAGGCGTTTGAATTTATTTGATGGTGCTCAGATTTGAGAATAAAGGCCAAACCTTTAAGTTTGCTCCTTGTATAAGACTCTTATTCCTTATAAGATAAAATAAACTAACCATCTACTATTTTATTCCTATGAAGACTAAACCAGGAATCCTCTCCAACAAAGTGGTTTGCCGTTGGACCCACCAACCTGAATTGACTACAATCTTCTCTGTATGTGCATGTGTGTGTGATGAGAGTCTCTGCCTCTCCCTTCTTTTCCACTGAGTACCATTTGATAACTTTAATTACTTTATTAAATTCCCTTGCCTCAGAGCCCCCACAATGATGCCTAATCCCATGTGGCAATGGCAATGGTCATCCCTCAATCTTCATGGTTTTAACTTGTTGTAAGCATGTACATCTCTCACATATACCAAACATTGAATTTCAACTAATATAACTTGGAATGTTAGAGAATGCATACTTTAACTAACTAAGGGTCTATTTAGTTTGCATGAATAGAGTTTAGAATTGGAATTGGAATAGGGGTGCAAGTCGGATTGGTCCAAATTAACAATTTATACTATTTTGGGTTTGGGTTTTGATTTAGATTCATTAAAATTTGACAAAATCCCAACTCTAACCTGTAAAAGTTGCACCCCTAAATCAGAATGACTTATTCCGGTTTCAGCCATTTGATTGGGGAAATGAAATTTTAATTTTTATTATTGGTGGAAGGGAATTCCCTCATTTGAGGGCTCGCCATTTTGGCCTCTCCATTCAGGGCTTTGGATCTACTATCGACATCCTTACTCCTTACCAATGAGACATTATAGCTATGCATTGGGAATATATCCCCTGTCATTCGTAAGTAGGAGTGTCAACGGTATTTGAAAATTCGGTTTTAAATTCAATATTCAATATAATTAAATCAAATTCGAATAATTCGAATATCTAACCGGTCGAATTTGGATATCCTATTCATATCGAATAGTTAATTGAATTGGAGTTCGGATGTAACCTAATTTGATTTGATAAATATCCGAATTCGACTAATTATTTAATTCATATATATATATAATATGAAATACTTAAATGTTTTATATAATTTATATATATATATAATTTAATTAATTAAATAAATAACTTAATTATTATATATTTTATATAAATAAAATATTTATATACTTATTAATTACCTAAAATAATTAATTGGTCGAATTCAAACCAAATCGAATATTCAGATATTTAATCAAATTCAAATTCAAATATTAATTTTCAATATCCGTTGAATATCGAATCAAATTTGAATATCAAATTTTTTAATTGAATTTGAATTTGAATATTGCCTAATTTGATTCAAATTCAATCTATTTACACCCTTATTCGCAATGAGATGTTCCCGTATTCTGTGGGATACGTGAGAATAGTTTGTTGATAGTATATCTAGAATGCTCTTTTGGGAATGAGAATTTCATTCCAATTTCCAAATGGTTGAAATAAAAAAGCAAATGACTTAAAAAACCCTAAAAGTTCAAACTTTATTTCTCTTTACTTGGCACAAACCCCCGTTGGGAATTACATGTATTTTATAAAATCAGATTTGAATTCTCATTTGAGCCAAATAAGCAAGGGAATAGATTATTCTGATTTCAATTACAAAGGATTTTGATTCTGATTGCATGCCAAATAGATCCTAAATCACTAATTGCTTTGATAAGGTCAGTTACCTCACTAATTGTTATACCTTTTTAACTTTTTTATGGGTTGCCCTTGTTTTATGCGCCACTTTTATTCAAATCTCACCGCACATCCTCTACGCGCAATAATGCCCAATGCTTCAAGAATATGATACATGAAATTGACAAAGAACCTCATTAATGAAGTACAATCTACAGACACATGGCACATTTTTCACCTAAGAAGTGGAGTTGCATTTATGGAGATCATCGGATATTTCTTCCTTCCCTGCAACTATTAAATAGGCTCAAAGCATTTAGTACAGCCTACATAGTGTTGAAGGCTCAAAATTAATACCAATACTGTGACTCCTCGTTTGTAAGGTTCCTCTCTTTGTTGGAATTAATTGTAAGTTCATAGTGAACAAACTATGCTGACCGACAACAAAGATATGAACTGTTCATCCAAACCATGACTCAGCTTTACGGGTGTGATGGAGCCGTGTCCCGACCTGTTCTACATGCCACGTGGATGATGACGTGGCTCGGGAACTATGCCAC